GGGATGACCTTGTATTGTGGGTGTCTTGGGGTTACCTTGTGTTGTAGGTGTCTTGGGGTGACCTTGTATTGGGGGTGTCTTGGGGTGACCTTGTGTTGTGGGTGTCTTGGGGTGACCTTGTATTGTGGGTGTCTTGGGGTGACCTTGTATTGTGGGTGTCTTGGGGGTGACCTTGTGTTGTGGGTGTCTTGGAGGTGACCTTGTATTGTGGGTGTCTTGGGGTGACCTTGTGGGTGTCTTGGGGGTGTGGATAAGGGAGGAAGGTGCGTTTCTAAGAAGGGGATTTTAGTCATTTTAGATGTGAGACAAAACAAACGTGCACACACATTCACACACACATATTCACACATTCTAATTCTCACTTTCAGCCTCACTCTTATCCTCTCTCTCATTGTCTCTCATTGTTTCTCATTCTCTCTCTCGTTCACACACACACGCAAAACGCTCTTGGGTGGAGGGGTAAGCCAGCTGAAGGCTTCGGTCACATGACCAAAAACTCCAGCTGTGGGTCATCATAAGACTAGGACCCGAGTCAGGAAACACTTGTCCTGTTTCCTGACAAATCTTAACCTACCGTCGGTTCACTGAGAATAAGTCGTGCTCCGCCCTTAGTCCTCTGTCATCTCAAAACAGCTTAGTTTCTGACCAAACAGGCTGTTGATCACTCGCCACCCCACATTCCTCACAGACCTCACATGTTGCTCTCAGTAAAATAGTCGACGTTCTTTGCAATTCGTCTCAATTAACGGTCTAGCCTTGCATTGTGTGAATTCAACATGCATAACTCCACGTTGAGTAAGTAACCTGTGACGCGTCTGGTGTGGAAGCGGAGGTAGGAAAGATGGAGTGTTTGAGATGAGAAAGAGGAGGGCAGAAAAGAAGAGCTGAAGGAAGGGAGAGAGGGAAGGAAGGAAGAAGGAAGGAAGAGAAAGAGAGAGGGAGGGAGACGGGGAGGGAAGGAAGGAGGGAGAGAGGATGGGAAGGAAGGAGGGATCTGGGTAGGGGTAGGGGTTTTATGTCAGTGTGAGGTGGAGGTATCGTTGCCAGCTGGCTGGTGGACCACCTGTCGCCTCCGCCTCGCTCCTTGTCTAATATTTTTGTGACTGAATTCATGTCTGCATAAATACCTCGTTACGATTGAAACCAGATATAAGATTGTAAATGTCTATTACCGCTGTAACTTATTCAGTTAATAAAACTTCGCGGCTCAGTCCCTCGGCTGTTATGTACCTTTATACTCCTTTTGACTACCGCGCACAGCATGAGCATGGAGTGCATAATGAAAATATTAAACTAACTTCCCAACATCTCCTCGCCTCATTCTTCCAACTAACGTGGTCGCCACACGCATTCAGATAATAATAATAATAACTGTAATAATAATCTTTATTTCTATAAGTACATGTACAAGGTATACAGGCCTAGCTGACATCAGTTATATACTACTATATAGAAAGCCATTTGGTATACCTGAAGAGGGTTTCGGTGATCAACGCTCTTGCGGCCCGGTCTGTGACCAGGCCCCCCGGTGGATCAGGACCTAATCAACCAGGTTGTTACTGCTGGCCACACACAAACCGACGTACGAACCACAGCAGAGCATTTCGGGAAAATTAGATCAAGTTTGTCCCCAGGATGCGGTCCACACCAGTCGACTAACACCTAGGTACCTATTTTACTGATAGGTGAACATGGACAGCAGGTGTCTTAAGGAAATACGTCCTAATGTTTTCACCCGTACTGGGAATCGACCCGCTGAGTGCGAAAGCAATCGAGCTATGGGACACCCTGAAGTGTAATGAAGTGTACGTCAACAGGATCGAAACGTACATGAGGGCCGGGACGTACATAGACTCTCTGGTAACTCTTCAGATCTGCCAGAACTGGCATGTCGATCGTGACCAGAAATGTGTACTCGCCCACCTATTTGTGTTCTTCTGTTTGTGGTAGCAGACGTCGAGTAGAAATAGGATTGTATACTGAAAGTTTTAGAGATGGCAGAATTGTCTTGTTCATGGGAAGAATTCATCTGGATTGTCGATCTTTGATCATATTAACAATTCGCTAAACACAAGCACAATATGACCTCTGTGAATAGGGAAACATCTGACCCTGTCTTCAATCATGTCGGCTCCACAAGGATCAGCACTGGTCCTAGTACCGATCCTTTGTTGAAACCCGTTTGCCGCATTTGATCCTTCCGATGCCGTTTTCTGGATAATCAATCTTTCCTTTCATTGCAGTGTCTTCCCTCATCCCTTCCTTTCTTCTTACAGTCTAAGAACACAGGAAGAAATCTCATAGAACGAAAGGAGTATGTAGATGACTTCTGCTTCTCCCAGATCCCTTGAAGATACATTGTTGGGTCAAGGTACCTAACTCGCTCAGTAGTTTTTTATTTTTTTTTACCTTATTTTGTGCAGTACTCGTTGGTGTACTTTCCCTTTGATTCCTTGGCACTGTCTGTACTTGCTCTGGGAACATAATGTTCACCCGAATAGAGTCTTCGATACTCTGAATGCAGTTTTGAGATTTAGTGATCTGCCAAATGCTGCAAATGTTATGCAGTTTATGAGCACCTCTGATGATACTTTTTATGTTAGAGAAAAATATGGCGTGCTGGGGAGTGTGGTGGTGGAGTGAGTGGCGTGCTGGGGAGTGTGGTGGTGGGGTGAGTGGCGTGCTGGGGAGTGTGGTGGTGGGGTGAGTGGCGTGCTGGGGAGTGTGGTGGTGGAGTGAGTGGCGTGCTGGGGGAGTGTGGTGGTGGGGTGAGTGGCGTGCTGGGGAGTGTGGGTGGTGGGTGAGTGGCGTGCTGGGGAGTGGGTGGTGGGTGAGTGGCGTGCTGGGAGTGGTGGTGGGGTGAGTGGCGTGCTGGGAGTGTGGTGGTGGGGTGAGTGGCGTGCTGGAGAGTGTGGTGGTGGGGCGAGTGGCGTGCTGGGGAGTGTGGTGGTGGGGTGAGTGGCGTGCTGGGGAGTGTGGTGGTGGGGTGAGTGGCGTGCTGGGAGTGTGGTGGTGGGGGATGGCGTGCTGGGAGTGTGGTGGTGGGGTGAGTGGCGTGCTGGGGAGTGTGGTGGTGGGTGAGTGGCGTGCTGGGGAGTGTGGTGGTGGGTGAGTGCGTGCTGGTGAGAGTGTGGTGGTGGGGTGAGTGGCGTGCTGGGAGTGTGGTGGTGGGGTGAGTGGCGTGCTGGGGAGTGTGGTGGTGGGGTGAGTGGCGTGCTGGGGAGTGTGGTGGTGGGTGAGTGGCGTGCTGGGGAGTGTGGTGTGGGGTGAGTGGCGTGCTGGGGAGTGTGGTGGTGGGGTGAGTGGCGTGCTGAGGAGTGTGGTGGGGGTGAGTGGCGTGCTGGGAGTGTGGTGGTGGGGTGAGTGGCGTGCTGGGGAGTGTGGTGGTGGGGCGAGTGGCGTGCTGGGGATGTGTGGTGGTGGGCGAGTGGCGTGCTGGGGAGTGTGGTGGTGGGGCGAGTGGCGTGCTGGGGAGTGTGGTGGTGGGGCGAGTGGCGTGCTGGGGAGGTGGTGGTGGGGTGGGGCGTGCTGGAGTGTGTGGTGGGCGTGGTGCTGGGGAGTGTGGTGTGGGGTGAGTGGCGTGCTGGGGAGTGTGGTGGTGGGTGAGTGGCGTGCTGGGAGTGTGGTGGTGGGGAGTGGCGTGCTGGGGAGTGTGGTGGTGGGGCAGTGGGTGAACGGAGCTTCGGTTATTTTAGCGGTGCCTGAGTGGACCTGTGTGTGGGGTAGAAAGACTACCCACCGGGCAGTCACGCATGTGGCAATACCCTGCTCAACCCATGCCCATGTCTCGGAGAAAAATACTCACTCACAACACCAGAGAGAGAAATTTAAGGACATCCTGACAAGAAAGTTTTCTTGTACGAACAGGTTGTGCATAATGCATCACGACATGATGATATAGTGCCAACAGGAGATTTCATCAGTTTGTGGATAATTGATGTAACATAAGTTACGCGTTAAATTTACGTCTGCAAGGTGCCTCTATATAACTACCCAAACAGTACACACAGTAGCACTTACAAACAAGCACTATGAAGCAATTCATAACCCCTTTACGTAACACGGTGTAATGAAACATAAACAAAATAACAAAAGCACAATACCGTGACGGAAATACAGAAATAACCGACAAAGAGAAGTCTTTACGACGACGTTTCGGTGCCACTTGGACATTTACAGAATAATGACTTGTAAATGGTTCAATCGCCGAACGTCCGAGTTATTTGAACATAACATCTTATGTACTATTTTTTTATAAGAACTCTAACGTTAAATACCTCATTTGCAGAGTGCCATTATAAACCAGTTGGATGTCACCTATATTTACCGTTGATTTCTGTTTTCAGATAGATAGGCTGGTGCCGTGAGTGGTTGAAATCATAGCACCCTTCAGGGAATTATGCAAAGTTCCAGGCTACTGCAGATCATGGCGACAGCGAGGTCTGTCACACATACGACCCACAGCATACCCTGGAAACTTAGTCCAGTACCGTGTTCCGGCCAGAGGGCAGCAGTGCATATTCCCACCCAAGTAACTCCGCATAACATGAAAGCGCCCTGAACGAGACGTCCGGAACGAAGCACGTCCGTTTTACCGAGACGGAACTGGAGCATCGCTGCTGGCGTACAATTTTATACAGATCTGCGCGCCCTTCCGAAACCAAGCATGCTGATGCCACTCCTACTACCAATTTCCTGAGCAGGAAAGCCTACCCTGCAATGCTATCGTCTGCTGTTTTGAAGATAGGTGGTCAGTACGATCAGCACTTGCAACGTCAACGGCACCTTCATTACGGATATTCGCCTGCCAGAAGCTTCGGTCTACATGACGCCAAGTTAAGTGCCTCAACAGCATCGTAAATTTCAGAAGCAAAAACTACCCGAGGAAACTATGTAATCACTCTCTGCCTTATCTTAACTGACAGAGGGGCAAGCAGGTTCACTACCACACGCCCAATAGGTAACCTTCCCCATAAGTCAGAAAGGCCCCACTAAGCTGAGACGTTTTCCGCAACGAAGGCAATCGTCTTTACCGAGAGCGGAAGCTGGAGCAGGCGCTGCTGGCGTACAACTACAGCATTCTGGCGGCGCCCTTCCCGAACCAAGCAGCTGAGGCCACTCCTACTATCAATATTCCTGAGCAGGAAAGCCTAGCCCTGGCATATGCTAATCGCTCTGCTGTTTTGTACGAAATGGGTCAGTACGAATCAGCACTTGCAGACGTCCAACGGGCCTTCATTTACGGATATCCGCCTGCCAGGAAGCATCGTCTACATGAACGCCAAGTTAAGTGCCTTCAAGCACTCGGTAAATTTCAGGAAGCAAAAACTATCCTCGAGGAAACTATTAATGCACTCTCTGCCTTATCTTTAACTGACAAGGAGGCGGCAACCGCGAAGAGTTCACTCACCACACTGCAAGCCAAGTGTGAGAGTAACTCTTCCCCAGTGTCGTCCCCACACCAGTATGAACGAGTGTTATACACAGGACCTGAGCGACCTCCTCCAGTGTCCTGCCCTCGACCTGACTTACCCTGCCTCAGCGACGCCCTCAGGATTCACTACACGCCCATCCGTGGTAGACATCTAGTGGCTAACAGGGATATTCAGCCAGGTAAGTCAGATTCGTCTTAGACTAACTGTAAACAGGTAAGTTATCACAGCTACCTTCACAACACCACAACTAAGTAGTTCCTCATAAGAATATAGATGACAGAACCCATGAATCTAGAGAGCAAAGTCGGCGAGGCCACGAGCTAGGACTCAACCCTACAACCAGACATAAGCTAGAACAGCTGTGTACCAAGTGTTTGGTGATGCCACTACATTTCCTTCACATGTATATTTACCACAAGGTTTATTTTCATGAGCAAACAAGTTCACATGGAACCTTTGTTATTATTATGGTTGTGCACAAGAGAACAATTTATTGTTCATATTATTGTTCATCCTCAGATAAATCTGAAAACTAATAAATACGAGCATTGAGATTTACTCGTAATTTGCACATTTATAATAATTTTTACAATGTCTCAGTCAGCACCTATAATTTATATTATAAAAAGATTAACGATCATTATTGGCCAGTAATAAGCCATCTCGCTGCCAGCAATGTTTTACAAATAGATACTAATAATATCTATAGATAATCATTCACTGTGGCCCTGAGTCTTCAGCCTTTCTTGTGAGTCTGTCACATTCTTATATATCAACTGACCTCCAAGTGAACCTCCTCAGGACAGTACGGACATTCATTATATATAGTGAAATGTTTATTAATACGTATTATTATTAGCAATACTCATAGGGTAGAGATAAGCCCGAAGGGATCATACAGCATCTGGGAAATGGGAGGAAATCAAAGTTAATCCAAGAAGAGTAGCTTCAGTTTCTTGGATCAAGAGCCTAACTCTGACCCAAGTTCCTTCACTGAAGGGCTCAACTCAGTAGCTTAATATACAAACTTACCACTGGAAAAATCTGTTAATAAATGTCTCAGAATATCCTCGATGCTGTTGTACTTAAAAAAAAATATTGTAAAAGTTGATTTCTTGAGGTGAGAGTGTGTGTGTGATGTTGCAGGAGAGGTGTTGGTGGTAGAGTCGGCCCTGGGAGCCGTGGTCAAGCTGGACGCCACTCTCAGGACTCACTGTTCTTATTGCCTGCGTCGTTCTCCCATCCCTCTGCCATGTCCCACCTGCTCCCTGGTAAGTATCTCCTGGTGGACTCTTTTTGCATCCCTCTGGGGGACCCACCCTGATACATGGTAACTGCTTATCTGGTTAACCTGCCTTGCTTCCTTGGTAAGCATTCCTCCTCAGAACTCGCCCTGCCCCCTGGGAGACCTGTATTACTCCCCCGGTAAGTACATCTCTGGGAGACCAGTCCTGCCTCTCAGGATGACTTGTACCGTTCCTTGGTAGACATTCCTATGGGGGACCCATCCTGGCCCCTGTTAATTACTTCCCTGAGGGACCCGTCATGCTCTTGGGAGGACCTATCCTACTTCCTAGTTAATGTTTCTCTGGGAAAACCAATCCTGCCTCTAGGAGATTATTATTATTATTATAATCAAAAAGAGCCTCTAAGAGAAGTTTCCTGTTCACGGCTAGAATGTCTCTTGAAAACCTGTCCTTGTCTTGTGAAAATACTCCTGGAGGACCCTGCTGTATAGCCCTTGTGGCTTAGCGCTTCTTTTTGATTATAATAATAATCCTGGAGGACTAGTAAGTATCTCCTTGGGAAACATGTTCTACTCCCTGATAAATACTGTTCCTAGGAAGTACCCTTCTGGAGGACCAGTCTTTCTTCCTAGTAACTCCCTTATCACTTAGGGACCAGATATACTCTCAGTTCATTCAATTTACCAAAAAAAAAAAAAAAGTATTTTTTTTATAGATTTATCATGAATGTCTATTGTAATCTTGTTATTATAAATAGCTTATTATATCTCGTATACATTTAATTTCTTTGCATTAGTGCATTTCATACTATTTTTTAACATAAGGTTGCAAAGAGATTGATACTTAGTGTTAAAATATATTTTATATTTATTCATATTCCATTAGAATTTTACTTCAGGTCGTGTTCTGCAGTGAAAGCTGTCGTAATGCAGGTGTTGGGGGAGGGCACGGAGCAGAGTGCAGTGTACTAGCAGTGCTGGTAGCCCTGCAACTGGACCCTGCGGCATCCCTTGCTCTCAGGGTCCTCGCCTCCACTACTCTCACAGACCTTCGTAACAGTCTGGTTAGCCTCCAGCGTGAAGGTTGTAGTGGAGGCTCACGGCCTATGATGCAAGTTGTGCATGACTACCGTGCCTTATACCACTTGGAAGGACATGCCACAGCCCGTCCAGAGAGTCAGCTACAGGAAACAGCTGCTATTGCTTGTGTTTTAACACACATCCTTATTGAACAATGTCCTAGTTTCTTGAAAGGCCAAGATGGTCATCCAGTCATGGTCTCTCAAGATGATATTGTGCTAGTGGGAGGGCAAATAATGCGACTAATTTTGGGTCTGGAGTGCAATGTCCATGGAACGAAAGAAATTGTAATTGGGGATGAGGGAGAAGAAAGTAACATTGGAAAGACTCGAGGACAAGAAGTGGGTTGGTCTGTATATTCAGCTCTAAGCCTGGTAAACCATTCGTGCGTCCCCAACACCCTGACAACCTCCCTGGGTAGTACAAAGTTCCTGTACAGTGTAAGCATCATCCCACAGGGAGCAGAGATCACAGACAGTTATGGTGAACGATACGTTAGTCATGGACGTACAGAGAGACGTGCAGCACTTCAGCAGCATTACTACTTCTGCTGCAGCTGTGCTGCCTGTCAAGCAGACTGGCCGCTCTTCCATGAGTTGCCTATGAAGCCAAGTTTGAGGTGTCCCTCGTGCTTCCAAGCACTCAGTGGCTTCACCTGTCATCTGTGTGAACTGGTATGCACAACAGATGTCACAACCAAGACGGGTGTCCAGCTCTATGACGCACCTAAAACTCAAGTACAGATGAATAAATGTTGGGCTGAGTATATAAAGGCTTCGGCCCAGATCAGCCAGGGCAAGGTCTCTCCCAGCTTAATGGCCATAGTTGTGAATCTGTTGATATTACTGGATAAATACACCGTTCATCCCAACCAGGCATATGTAAGTGCCCAAGAAACATTGATGACTTGCTTTGACCTGATGGGTTCTGTTCACCTTGTGACCAAGGCCACGCCCAAGTAGTGGGTGACCAGCTACTTTATACACTTATCAAGTAAATCATTTCACTTACTCAGATTTGATCATTTTAGTTCAGTAGTAAAATTTAACATTGGCCATAAAATGTTCGTCCACGGTAGGCTTCATATCACTATTTCATAATTCAACCCATCTTCACGACAATCTGTACATTCTGAACCTCGGTATTTTTCATTCTTTTTAAAAGTTTAGGACAGATTATTTTATTCGGATTATTAACCAGAAGTGTTAGTAATACTACTAGTCGTCTTTCCTCCACTACTGGTTATGGGGAATGGTACAGTACTTGTATGACTGCTTTGGGCAGCTTACCTGGTCAACTTAGATTATCATTATTATAATCAAAAAGAAGCGCTAAGCCACAAGGGCTATACAGCTGGTCAACTTAGAGACTCCTTGCACCAGTGTAAGGACTGTCAGGTCATCCCGACAGCTGAGTATCTGTTGATGGGTTACCTCAGTCATCAGAGCTTGCCTAGTGAGGGGCAGCTGCTGGAAGAGGATGGGAGGGGGGAAAGAGGTAGCTGCCTCCATCCTGAATTATGTTAATATTAAAGAAAAACAACCATTTTGATGTCAAGCTCAGAGTCATGTCTTGCCACCTCGTTCCCTTTCTGAAAGCTCCAGCAGACGTCAGTGGTGAGCACTTTCATTAGGTATCCTCGATGGCGAACTTTGCAGTGGGTGCCTGGATGTTTTTTCTAAAGTTATAACTTAAGAACAGCTCATCTGACCAGCTTTAAATTCTCAACACTTTTGTAATGTACGAGGGACAAAGTTCGTTCAATTATTGGTATGCAGCTGCCAAGCATTGCATAGCTCATTCCAAGATTTAGAATGTGTCCAGAAATGTTAAAAAAAACACTGCTCCTTGGCTTCAAATATTCAACACTGGTGTGTCTTACTCGAAGTGTTCAAAGTGATGATTATTGAAGCTTGTGAGTGCACAACTGATTTTTTTTACCTATTAATTCACGTTAAATATGAGTATACCTCTTTTGAATGGCTTTAATCTTTTTTTAGGGGGTGGGGGCTGATGTATATTATAGACAGGATTGTACCCAATAAGTGTATTTTGTGTAGGTGCAAAATTATCAATATGTAATATGGTTAAAATACTTGGAATTATTGGAATCAGTGATAACTGTATAATAACTCTTTTGGTCGGTCGTAACTTTTCAATATTTTTTTTTGCCTGAACAGAATTTTATTATTAAATAAATTCCTCTTCTCATCGGCTTCTAATCTTTAATACTGACGTATCTGATATGTATAATACTGCATAAGTTTAAAATGTGTGGCTGCAAATTTGCCTGTATACAAATATGATTAAGATCCAAAGAATCATTGGATTTCAGTCAATAACTGGAGACTTATCTGGTTCACTTCGAATTGAGTATTAGTTTTATTTGCAGGGTATTTTAGTGACTCCTTTGTGCTAATTCCATAATTAATAGATTAGAGTAATTATACTTACTGTACTCTTCTGGACCATTTAGAAATTTGACTCGAGCTAAAAAAAAAAAAAAAAAAAGTAATATTAGACAGCTTTAAAACACTTCACATCTCCACCATGTTAATTTTTATACATTTTCTCTAGCCGTTTGGCAGATATTAATTTGAGAAGTTGAGCATGCACAGTGGCCTGGAAGTTGAATAGGCACGGTGGCCTGGAAGTTAAGCAGGGTGGTGGCCCGGAAGTTGAGTAGGCACGGTGGTCCAGAAGTTGAGCAGGCACGGTGGCCTGGAAGTTGAGCAGGCATGGTGGTCTGGAAGTTGAATAGGCACGGTGGCCGGGAAGTTAAGCAGGCGTGGTGGCCCGGAAGTTGAGCAGTCATGGTGGCCCGAAGTTGAGTAGGCACGGTGGTCCAGAAGTTAAGCAGGCACGGTGGCCCGGAAGTTGAGAAGGCACGGTGGTCCAGAAGTTAAGCAGGCACGGTGGCCTGAAGTTGAGCAGGCACGGTGGTCCAGAAGTTGAGCAGGCACGGTGGCCAGGAAGTTGAGCAAGCATGGTGGCCTGGAAGTTAAGCAGGCACGGTGGCCCAGAAGTTGAGCAGGCACAGTGGAGCTTCAGTCAGCAGGTAGCAACAATCATCTTTGGTAAGAGAATAGGATACGTGACTCACTCCTAGACACCACACAAAGAAACATCCATCACCATTCTGGGAGGACTGCCAGGTAACACTATCAGTTCACCACACCTTTGATTGTTTGTCCGAAATGCTCCTCATAACTATGGGCTTTCAACATGCAATCAAGTATCGCCCATTTCTGTATAAACAGGATTCACTTTTGGCTTCTACACCGTCTTATAACACACACTGACCTCCTCACTAAAAGTCCCACCTTTACTGCAAACTCTGACTTTTTATGAGTTGTTTGAATCAGCTGTTGCACCAACTGATTCAAATTTTACTCTTGCACCAACTCTCACTTCCACTAACCCCTACTACCCTCATACATCTCCACCCCCTCACTATTTCCTTTACACATTCCTACTTCCACACATCCCTTCTAGCAGCACTGTATTACCCTTACGGGTTTAGTTTGTTTACTACTATTATTATTATTATTATTATTATCAGTGGTGAGTAAATGCAAGTTGCAACTCTATGGGAATCCCCTGCCAGGTATCTCAAATTATTTTAATAATAGTCTTTATTTCTATAAGTACATGTACAAGGTATACAGGCCTTGCGGACATCAGTGGCATACTACTACTAGTATATAGAAAGCCCCTTATGCAGATCATTTCAGGAAAATTAGGTCAATTTTGTCCCCAGGATGTGACCCACACCAGTCATCTAATACCCAGGTACCCATTTTACTGATAGGTGAACACGGGCAGCAGGTATCTTAAGGAAACATCCTGATGTTTCCACCTGTACTGGAAATCAATCCCCGGACCTCAGTGTGTGAGCCAAGTGCACTAGCAATCGAGCTATGGGACACCTTTTTTTTTTTTTTTTAATAGTAGTAATAATATAATATATCTATTTCTACAAGTACATGTACAAGGTATACAGGCCTAGCTGACATCAGTGACATACTACTATATAGAAAGCCACTTGTTATGCTGAGCATTTCGAGCAAATTAGGTCAGTTTTGTCCTAGGATGCGACCCACACCAGTCGATTAACACTCGTGTACCTATTTCATACTGATGGGTGAGCCATGGAAAGCAGGTGTCTTATGGAAACACGTCCCTAATGTTTTCCATCCATACCGGAGATTCGAACTCCGGACCTCAGTGTGAGAGCTGAGTGCGCTAGCAATCGAGCTATGGGACACCACGGTGCCAAGAGGAAGCATATGACTGAATGCTGAGTAGAAACTTGAACTAACAGAGAAGGTGGAGTATGGTGTCTCAGTGGCATGGGTGAGTGAGGAATATGGTGTTAAGAAAGTATCTAATGTCTGTATTACCACTAAACAACACTGCAAATTAAATCTCATCTCTCAACCATAAAAAAGGTAAGTGAAATTACTGTAAATCACTGCAATGCACTGTACGAACTGTATTAACATTACAATCAAAACTAAGTGCTAAACCTACAAGGGCCATACTGCACTGATTGTACTGTACATGTATGATAGTATTGTACTTTCAACTCTTTTTATTTACAGTACTCTGTATAGCCCTTGTGGCTTAGCGCTTCTTTTTGATTATAATAATAATATTTACAGTACAGTACTGCACAGGTTTACATTATTATATTCATAACAAGCTAAACCCTTAAGGGTCATACAGCGCTACACACAGGTTTATAGATTACGATGCACCGAGTTTGCTGTTTTCAGCCTTTATCATTTTGTCACAATCATGAAAAATAAAATTCATAATTTGGAATCTATGGACAATCAGAATTAACACCACTCCCCTTCTCCTGTTTCTCTTCTAAATTAAGGGTTCTCATTTTCACCTCTCAAGGAAGGTTCCTTGATATTGGTGAGGGGCTCTTAATCCTCCCATTCCACAGGTTGTATGGCCCCTATGGATTTAGCACTTCCCCTTCAATATAATGCATCATTAAGCACAAAGCCTGTATGGGTCATTCAGCACTGCAGGTAGGGATGTGAGAGGACAGAAGTGTGCAAAGGTTAGGGATGTGCTCTTCCCTTGGCAGAAGATGTAACTGGTGGGGAAGCACAGACTGGACGAAGAAGAAAGGGTGCAGATGTAACTAATGAGACTGCAGGGATTTCTTGTATTTAGTAAATCTAGTTCTCCATGGGGAAGTGGAACCGAATTCTTCCTCTGTAAGCGATGTGTGTCGTAAGAGGCAACTAAAAATGCCGGGAGCAAGGAGCTAGTAACCCCTTCTCCTGTATACATTGCTAAATTTAAAAAGTGAAACTTTCGTTTTTCTTTTTGGGTCACCCTGCCTCGGTGGAATATTGCCGGTTTGTTGAAAGAAGATAAATCTAGTAGGAGCCTGAATAACAGATCCACTTCAGTGGGACATGAAAATACTAGTCATAATTAACAAGCCATGTTTACTGAGTATGAAGACTGTACATTGTATACATTAGAAATATAATTACATCAGTTACTTGAGCAGTACATTAAGATGGATTATATTTTTAAATCACATGTTAGGAAGACTATCATTACTTATACTTGCTGTCTACACAGGATTTCAAATAAAGCTATACAGAAAAAAAAATAACATTAAACCTAAAACTAGAGAAAAGCCTCTAACAAATACTACAGCCAAGCAGCAGTCTTGCAAAATAAATAATCAGTACATTCACATACATTTGTCAAGTTATTGAGCATCAGTGATAAAAAAAAAAAGGGCAATACAGTGGAACCCCGAGTTTTGGCCGTAATCCGTTCCAGGGGCTAGGCCTAAACTCAAAACGGCCGAGAGGCGAAGCAATATTTCCAATAAGAAATAATGTCATTACAATTAAAAAAAAAAAAAAAAAAAACAATTAATCCGTTCCAGATCCATAAAAATATTCACAAAAAATACATTTTTTAAAGAATAACTATAGTTTAACATGTATATAGTACTTAAAACATTTTTTTTTTTTTTTTTTTTTTCAACAAGTCGGCCGTCTCCCACCGAGGCAGGGTGACCCAAAAAAGAAAGAAAATCCCCAAAAAGAAAATACTTTCATCATCATTCAACACTTTCACCACACTCGCACATTATCACTGTTTTTGCAGAGGTGCTCAGAATACAACAGTCTAGAAGCATAAACATATAAAGATACACAACATATCCCTCCAAACTGCCAATATCCCAAACCCCTCCTTTAAAGTGCAGGCATTGTACTTCCCATTTCCAGGACTCAAGTCCGACTATATGAAAATAAAACATACATATAGTATTAAATGAGTAATACAATACATAAACATTTAAAATCACATTTACCTACCTTTATTGAAGACTCTTATTGGCATCTAGAAGATAGGGAGGACTTATTATTGCCTCCACCACTGCCTCACTGCCACTATGAAGTTTCTTTGGGCCCATGGTGGCTTATTTCACAGTCACAATCAATAAACAAACACTAAACACAATGAATTTATTGTGAAATGTTCGGATGAGCGTGCAGGGTAATGTTCACTCAAGGATAAACAAAGCTAGACTGGCTCACTATGCCTGTGTGGGGAGGTGCGAACAGGTCTGGTACTCTGACAAACACAGGGCAATGGCCGAAACTTGGGACAAAATGCGGTCGAAACTCGAAGCAGCCGATGCTCGGGGCTCCACTGTATTTAGTATACAGGCATATACATTACTTAGTCTTGAAACCCAATGATTCTCCTCACAATTTGTATCCAAAATTATGATTATTAAAAATTTCATGTTGAACACCTGACCTTTTATTTATGGCGAGTGTGTCATCCTATTTTCAATTATAAATAAAAGTATATTTATTCACTCTGATTTTTTACATTGTAAATTAGATATTTATATTGGCATTCATGAGGAAGCACTGATACAATGCTTGAGAAATGGGAGGTAATCAGGTCTTGCCCAAGGGAGAATATCTCGGTTCCTTAGATCAAGAGCCCTTCATCATCAGCAAGGCACCCCCTACCTCCCCATTAAGGGTGGCATTTCTAATTGCAGCTTAAAACTTTCTGCTAGTTGGGTGACCATTATCATTATCTATGCATTTAAGATTATCACTTTTGTTTGTAAATGTAGCATTGGGTTTAGTACTTGATTATATTATTGTGACAATGTAGTGCATGTTAACTCAGCATTGATGAGGATGTTGTGGGTTAATTGAATTGACACCTATACATTTCTAAATTGTTAATGTGAAGTGTCCAATGCAAATGCTAGTAGTGGAGGTTCAGCTCATCCGCTAATAATGTTACACTGTTCTAGCAGTCAGTTGTTGACCCTTTTGGGTTTAATGCTTACCAAGATTATTATAATAAGAACAGCTAGTTGCATGCTTCTAGGAAGACAGCTAGAGAACAAGTGATAGGAAGTATGTTTCAATTTTTGGGTCACCCTGTCTTGATAGGAGAAGGCCAGCGTGTTTCTCTGTATACAATGTATTGGCTGACCAGTCATCCAAGTATCCATAATACAGTAAGAGAAAGTAAGGATGTGGGAACATTAATGCAATGTACAGTAAAATTTAGCTAAAAGATAAACTAATAAAAATGTTAACACTGGTCATTATGAGAGAGGTTTGTTAACTGGAACAATAGTTTTAGAGTGGGTAAGGGATGTGTAGATCAAGTGTTTACATTGAAGCATATATGTGAACAGTATTTAGATAAAGGTAGGGAAGTTTGTACTGCATTTATGGATTTAGAAAAGGCATACGATAGAGTGGCAAGTATATGTAATAGGTGGCAAGTTACTAATTGCTATAAAGAGTTCTATGAGGATAGTGAGGCTCAGGTTAGGGTGTGTAGAAGAGAGGGAGATTACTTCCCGGTAAAAGTAGGTCTTAGACAGGGATGTGTAATGTCACCATGGTTGTTTAATATATTTATAGATGGGGTTGTAAAAGAAGTAAATGCTAGGGTGTTCAGGAGAGGGGTGGGATTAAATTATGGGGAATCAAATACAAAATGGGAATTGACAGTTACTTTTTGCTGATGAAAGATTCTCAAGAAAAATTGCAAAGGTTAGTGGACGAGTTTGGGAGTGTGTTTAAAGGTAGAAAGTTGAAAGTGAACATAGAAAAGAGTAAGGTGATGAGGGTATCAAATGATTTAGATAAAGAAAAATTGGATATCAAATTGGGGAGGAGTATGGAAGAAGTGAATGTTTTCAGATATTTGGGAGTTGACATGTCAGCTGATGGATTTATGAAGGACGAGGTTAATCGTAGAATTGACGAAGGAAAAAGGGCGAGTGGTGTGTCGAGGTATACGTGAAGACAAAAAACGTTATCTATGGAGGCAAAGAAGGGTATGTATGAAAGTATAGTAGTACCAACACTCTTATATGGGTGTGAAGCTTGGGTTGTAAATGCTGCAGCGAGGAGGCGGTTGGAGGCAGTGGAGATGTCCTGTCTAAGGGCAATGTGTGGTGTAAATATTATGCAGAAAATTCAGAGTGTGGAAATTAGGAGAAGGTGTGGAGTTAGTAAAAGTCAGAGGGCTGAAGAAGGGTTGTTGAGGTGGTTTGGTCATTTAGAGAGAATGGATCACAGTAGAATGACATGGAGAGCGTATAAATCTGTAGGGGAAGGAAGGCGGGGTAGGGTTCGTCCTCGAAAAGGTTGGAGGGAGGGGGTAAAGGAGGTTTTGTGGGAGAGGGGCTTGGACTTCCAGCAAGCGTGCGTGAGCGTGTTAGATAGGAGTGAATGGAGACGAATGGTATTTGGGACCTGACGAGCTGTTGGAATGTGAGCAGGGTAATATTTAATGAAGGGATTCAGGGAAACCAGTTATTTTTATATAGCCGGACTTGAGTCCTAGAAATGGGGAGTACGATGCCTACACTTTAAAGGAGAGGTTTGGGATATTGGCAGTTTGGAGGGATATGTTGTGTATCTTTATACATATATGCTTCTAAACTGTTGTATTCTGAGCACCTCTGCAAAAACAGTAATTATGTGTGAGTGAGGTGAAAGTGTTGAATGATGAAAGTATTTTCTTTTGGGGGATTTTCTGTTTTTGGGTCACCCTGCCTCGGTGGGAGATGGCTGACTTGTTAAAAAAATAAATAAATAAATATATATATGGTAGTGTTCACTGCCTCTGGAAATGAGGTCTGGAATGTGAGAAAAATATGTGCACTTTACAAACTTGTGATAATGGCACAAAAGTTAAACAAGAAATTTGTGGAGGTTCCTGTTGGCTTATTGTTTACAATTATTATTCATATCTTTAGTAGTTCATAATTAACATACAACATAGCCTCAGTTTTTTGAAGACTAATTTGAAAACAACGTAATGACATTTCAATTAATCCTGGACCATAATGTCCAACAATGAATTCTTCCAGCTATGATAGTGTGACATTAACTAACATTAAATATGTTACTATATCCATGTCTTCTAAAGGGTAGGTCCCCACAACAGGGGGTGAATGACTTTTGATCCAAGGTTTTTAATATCCTTTTTTTAATGGTAAAAATTCATTGCATCCTTTTCCCCCAAGGGGTTTTATGACTATTGGGTTTTTTAACACCCCCTATAATGTAAAAACTACAGCATACCTTATAATGATGTTTCCACCTTTTTTAAAGTGTGAGTTTTGTACCCATTTTTTTTTTTTTATTGAGAATTTACAATGAGTGATTTATATAACGTAATGGTTAGATTATCATGAATGCTTCAATCAATCGTGTTTTAAATATAAAAGTTCAAACCAGTTTCCCCACAATTTTTAATTTTTTAAAACTAGCAAGGGCAAAGTATATCAAAGATTTCATTATGAAACAAACCTATACATTTTGCATTTTTTATTAAAATAATACAGTAAAAATAATCATAAGACAATCAAATTGATCACTTTTTAAAAAATTTGCCGAGCATTTAGTGTGGAGGCTGCTTCATCTCATTTAAGTACTAATAGTTTTCGAATAAAAATTTATTTTTATGACAGTGGCAAAGCACCCTCTTTGGGAATAAATTTTTTAAAATGATTTAACCAGTGCAGTATTTACTCTTGTGCACATCACAACAAGGGGGAAGCCGAGAATCAAGATGCAAGGGCTATATTGACTTGGAAAGATCCATGCAAAAGCAATTTAAAAATATCTGAGGTGTTTTATACAAAACATTGCAAATTTGATCCAGCTTGTACATGGAGTGGAAATTTCTAGCTTAAAAAAATAAGAAAATGTTTGGCCCAATTTATCAAAAAAAAAAAAAAAAAAAAAAAAAAAATTAAGAACCCAAGCGACAGAAAAATATTATGTTTTAGGACTAAAAGAAAATTATTTTTTTCTGGACCACACACACTATTTCCTAGAATCTCGGTAAAAAATTTTTTACACTAGTGAGATAACTTGTGGCAGAATTAAACTGTTGAAATTACGTCTGCTGTCTAAAATTATACAAACTAGACTCTTTCAAATGGTTGGGCAAATAATTTCAAACTGCCTACCCACAAACTGAAAAGTCTGAAAAATTTCCTAGTAAAACAAGTCTTTTTTAAAAAAAAATATAGCTCTTATGATTGCATTTCTATTGTTTTGCAAATTCCATTTTCCCCAAAGGGAGGACACGGTTCATTGGAGGAAGTTTCTTTTCTTCGGACGAAAATTTATCACCGGTTTTTTACACGCAATTTTTACGAGGAGCCCTTTCCTTCGAGGGGCCCCGTGGTTTCCCCTGTAAAGTTAAAAGTTTTTCAAACACTTTTTTAAAAAACCTTGATTTAAATAAGACTTATTAAAAAAATATTATTATATATATAGGCACAAATAAAAATCTTCCATTGAATTGGGGAAGTTAATTACGCAGCAGTTGCTGACCCTTTCAAGGTCAGCAGTGGTAAGCACTATCTGGCATCATCTGTGAAAAGATGTAAAAATGGTTGAAGTGTTCCACATTTTCCCAATTAAAGAAAAAAAAACTGTTCAACAGCAATGGGTATAGATGAGTCTTAATTAAACTATTGATATAAAAACAGCTGGGGAAAAAGCTAGTAATTTTTGTACCAAACCTTTTTTAATACTGTAAATTTTTACCTATGTTTATTAAAAAAAGCACTAATAGCTTTTGTTAAAAAATTTTAAATGAAACTAATTCCAAATATCATAGTAAATCTTTTGTTCAATTCTTAATGAATAAGTCCCAAATAAATGTGACATTTAAAGCAGTTAAAAATTTAAAAACAAATGAATAAAATTTATTATTATTTAATCAAAAGAAGCCAAACCACAAGGGCATACAGCCTGGGGGTAGGGAGGAAAAAAAGGGAAAATTTGGATCAGAAGGGAGGGGGGGGGGGGATATCCAGGTTAAAAAAAAACAGTGGGGCGGGGGGATAGTAGGGGGTAGAGGTAAAAGAGTACAAGTAAAAGGGCTGAAGTATAGAATTTGTGAAGAAAAGTCAGTCGTTGTCAAAAAGTCAAGGAGAGTGGAAAAAGGGGGGGGTCCATCAGCGGGGAAGGGGAAGGTAAAGAGAGAGGGGGGGGCAAGACGACGCAGAGGTAATTCTGCTGCTCGTTGATAAAGTGGGCGCCCAACAGAATGGGGCTGACTTAATGGGAGCTTGGAAATTTCTCACAGAGAGGGCAAGAACCCCTCTCCATGGATACATGATAAGAGAGTATGGCCCCAATGCGAAGACGGAGAGAGTATCTCCCAACCTCGACACTGGTGATAAAAAAGGGGCCAAAACCCTATACTCTTTTTTTAATAGACTGAATTTTGTTGCGAGTT